GAAAAGTTTGAATCAATAGCTCAAGAAGTTGAAGAAACACAAGTACAAAAAACACAAAGAAAAGATCACCAAGTCACACGTTAATCATGTTGCTTAAAACCAGCCATAGAGATTTCAATGATTTAGATGAAATAAATATAGTAAAAGGGAACAGGGGAAAATGACCTATTCCATACAGAAAAATAAGATGATGGCAGATTCCTTGTAGAAACAATGCGTGCAAGGAGAGAGTGGAGCAATTTCTTTAAAGAACTGAAGGAAAAAAAATCTTCAATCTAGAATTCTTTACCAAGCAAAATATTTTTCAAAAACAAAGCAGAAATAAAGATATTTTCAGACATACCACAGCTGGAAGACTTTATGATAGGCAGGCCTGCACTATAGGAAATGTTAAAGAAAGTTTATTGAGCAGAAGAAAAATGATACTTGATGGAAACCTACTTTTACAAAAGGGAATGATGAGCCCTGGAAATGGTAACTACATGGGTAGACAAAAAAGTTTTCTTACTAACATCTCTTTAGAAGATAATCAACTATTTAAAGGAAAAATAACAGCAATGCACTATGGAGTTTATACTGCATAGAGCAGGTGTCTTCAAACTACGGCCCGCGGGCCACATGCAGCCCACCGTGGACATTTACCCGGCCCTCTGGGTGATTTTGCCACCGCTGCCTGTCCTGCTAGCAGCCAACTCATCCAGGGGCCTGCAGTCAGGCCCTCCAATGGTCTGAGGGACAGTGAACTGGCCCCCTGTTCAAAAAGTTTGAGGACCCCTGGTATAGAGCAATAAAAGGTTGACCACAATAGCACAAAGGCTAGACAAGGAAAAACAAAAGTATGTTATTGCAAGGTTCTTACACAATATATGTAGTATCACTTAAAAGTAGACTGATAAAATTAAAGATGTATATTATAGACCCTAAAGCAACCATTAAAATAATACAATGAACAATTACAGTCCAGTGGTTCCAACTTTTTTGGTTTCATGGGAGACCTAGGGTGGGGAGTGGAGCTCAGGTGGACATGCAAGTGCTGAGAACAGCTGTGAACACAGAGGAAGCTTCCCTTGCTAGCCAGCTGCTCACTCCTGCTATGTGGCCCAGTTCCTAACAGGCCATGGACGTGAGGACTGGAGTTATAGCAAATAAAGCAATAGAGCAATAAAGGAAATAAAATGGGAGCATAAAATCCAAGAGAAAGAAAAAGGCCAAAGAAACAATGAACAAGTGGGCAAATACAACACAAATAGCAAGATGATGGATTACAATCCAAAGAGATCAAGAACCACATTAAATATAAATGGTCTAAATAATACCATTGTAGAATTGCCCAACAAATATTTTGTAAATAAAGGTATATATAGCTACAATTTCCCATTTTCCCTATGTATGGTGACTTTAGAGGAGGTACTTTGGGATACCTTCTGGATTTCAGAGCACAGAATATATCACCAGGAATAAAGAAAGTCATTTCATAATGATAAACGGGTTGGTTCATCAAGACATGGTTCTAAACATTCATGCAGACAGAGCTCAAGACAGCTTCGAGATACATGGAAGACTTGACAGGACTGCAGAAAGAAACAGACAAATCTGCAACGATAATCAAAGACGTCAACATTCATTGTCAATAGTTGATAGAACAAGTAAACATAAAATCTGTAAGGATATAAAGACCGGAAAATACTGAGAACCAACTTGAGCTAGTTTTTATTTATAGAACATCTCACCCAACAACAGAGGTACATTCTTCAAATTATTTATCAAGATGGACCATATCTGTACCAGGAAACAAGTATCAATAAGTTTAAGAAATTCAAATTATATGAAGTTTGTTTTCTGATCACATGGAATGAAATTAGAAATCACTAAGAAAAAGATATCCAGAAAAATGCCAGAATATTTGAGGACTATAACATACATTTCAATAATTCATGGGGCTCAGTGTCTGTAGCACAGTGGTTACAGTGCTGGCCACATACACCCAGGCTGCCAGGTTCAAACCCAGCCTGGGCCAGGTGAACGACAATGACAACTGCAACAAAAAATAGCTGAGTGTGTGGCAGGGGCCTGTACTCCCAGTTATTGGGAGGCAGAGGCAAGAGAATCACTTGTGCCCAAGAGCTGGAGGTTGCTGTGAGCTGTGATGTCACAGTACTCTACTGAGGGCAACATACTAAGATTCTGTCTCAATAAATAAATAAATAATTTGTGGGTCAAATTTATTGGGAAAGAAGAAAAGTCTAAAATTAATGACTTCAGCTTTCACCTTAAGAAACTAGAGCCAGAGGGGGGAGCCTGCAGCTTTAGGCTACGTTTGGCCTTCTAGGTCCTTACTGTGGCCTTTTGACTGAATCCAAACTTTACAGAACAAATCCTTTGATTTTTATTAACAAAGTTTTGTTTATCTTTTGTATTTTTATTTTTAAAATGAACATATTTCAAATGCCAGAGAATAAAATAAGTTTCAAAGAAAACATCCTTTCAGATTAACTGGTGCAGTAAGAATATTAGTAACCCACAGGGCTAAATTGACTTTCCCCCACCTGACTGGTGCCACCACCACAGGAGGCTGGTTGGTGAGAGTTTATGGGAGTCAAGTGCTCAGGTCTGTTATCAGCTTTTGACAGTGGAGCACTATGTTTCTGTGTGAAGTGGAATTTGTGAGTGGTCACACGGCTTGACAGTGATTTTTTTGTTGTTGTTGCAGTTTTTGCCCCAGGCTGGGTTTGAACCTGCCACTTCCAGCATATGGGGCAGCGCCCTACACCTTTGAGCCACAGGTGCCAACCTTGACAGTGATTTTTAATTCTGTCTGCTTAAGAGCCCATCACGTCAAAGAAGACCACGAGAACACTGACGG